TTCGGGATTTTTTGGCTTGATATTTGGCTGTCGGGCTGGCCGACGGGTTACTTAGTGGAATGGGGCAAGGTGTCCTGTAAGTCACAGACCCCACAGCTAGAGGCCAGCACATGGCCACTGATTGAGACGCCTCCTGGGTCTTGAAGCTTGGACAAGGTTGGCGACGGCAGAACCTGACAGCCGTCCCCGCCAAATCTCTCGCGTCCCTGGGATCCAAGGTTCCTGCACAAAGCCTTCACGCTCCACCTTCTCGCAGTGTGGAACTCAGCCGCAGAGGGCACTGCTCCTCGTCCCTGCCTCGTGTGTGGGTCGTGTCTGGCCTTGGATATGTCAGACATCGTCAGACACTCTCAGCGATGGCCCCTGCACTGCTTGGAGCACTGCTGTTCCGGAAACACCTCTTCCTTGCCTCGCTCCACTCAAAACTTCCACCTTATGGCACAAAAGACAAAGCCTAAGCAAACAGCATGTGCGAGAATGTCTTCAGCAAAGTTCTTGGTCTTCGAGGACCCGACATCCTGGCTGCGTCAAGCACTTCCAAGCACAGTCCTCTCATCTGAGCAGCCAACGTTTGCATTGCAAACGTTTGCAGATAGACGCTGCGCCAAAGCGGCTGTGTGCTATGCATAAAGCACCAATGACGAACAGCACCTCAACTGACGCAGCTGAATGGCGCCAGCCGCCTCAGCAAAAAGGACATTGACTCTCTGACGCACCTTGATACACCTTGACGCGGCTTGCACGGCTAGAAGGTGAGGCAGAAACCAGAAAACTGATCGCCACCTTGGGAATGGTACGTATTGGACAACGAGTCAAGTTGGCAAGTCGAGGAGGGCACCATACACGTCGCCCATCACACGCTCCCAACCCTTGGGGTTCAAAACGATTTGAGATGAACAGGCATTACGTGAATATCCTCGTCTAGACACTGGCCGATGCAAGAGCAATCTCATCTTATCTTCTTAAACCACGCGCATTCTTCACGCTGCGAGAACGTGCTATGCTGCGATGTCTGATCTCAGCGGGCCTGCGGGCATGGCTTCTCCTCCTTCTCCTCGGTTGGAGCCATCCCAGAGAGAAATGCACAGAGCCCTGATCAGCCCTGAGCCCTTAGCTGCTTCATCCGCGTCAGGAAGCAGGAAGTCTAGGATCTGCGCGACGGCGCCCTGTTGAAGGCAATAGGTATCTCCTTCTTTAATCTAAACTAAGGAGGCCACGAGGAGGCCTCGCCTTGCCAGCTTTGGGCTCTTGCAGCTCCTCACTCACATTGCCCAGGTCCTTAGCAAATTCGCTGAGGCTTAACGAAGGAAGGGTCAAAAAGCGGCATGCCTGCGTGAGGTTCACGAAGTTGAGGCCTTGCTTCCGGCAGAAAAAGAATCTAATGTCCGAGACAGGTTTACCTCGTCTCGGGCTGTGGCTCAGAGCATCAAGTGTGCTGCTCAAGGCACCCAAGGCATTCTTGCCCACGCTGTCAAGCCTAAGTGGACACCCTACCAAACTTTAGACTTCCATGTTGCGCCCAAACCGCTGACACCGAGGCTGCCACAGTCCGGCAGGACCTTACAGATGCAGGGATGCAAGCCGCCATCCCAGATGATGTCTTTTCTGGCATGCACTGTTGTAAAGGGTCCTGGATCTGTGACGCCGTCCGGTCATTTCATGTGTTTTTTGGATCTGCATAGCTGCTGGCTCTTAGTTGGCGCGCACTTGAATTCACGCAAAGTGGTCACTTCACTGGAAGGAAGGGCAAGATGTTGCCAACCGTACCCAAAAGAAATCGTTGCAGGGTACCAGCTCAAACTTCTTGGGGCAGCAGACGCAAGAGATACAACGTGTAAGATGTCATCTCAGCGGCACAGCGCAGGGATTTTCATCATCAATAAGCTGGGCATTAGGCAAGGAGGGATGTCATTTCGTCGTCAGAGGCAGGAGTGACTCAGGTGATCCGGAACACCGTCGGCCCACTTAAGTGCCGCGACGCTTGGAAAGACTTGCCAAAGCCTGTATGATGGCGGGCAGGGTCACGCTAAGGTTATGGCCTCTAAATTTCAGCTTGAGCCACGACGCCTCGCTTAATGAGGCGCGCGCTTCCACTATGCAGCGGTGTTCGAAAACTGTTGCATGCATCTGCGCGCATAGACAGAACGCAGAGTCTGCAGAGTGATGCATAAGGACTTGTAAGGATCACTGGTAAAAAGGGTAAACTTTTTCTTCCAATCTTCACATGCCATCTGTTTCGACCATGAACGACCAGGGTCCCGTGACACTTTTGGCTCCAGGCAGCAACCTTGAAAGCAATCACCCCTTCGCCACACTGGACCGTCTTTCTCTCTGAAAGACCTGGCACACGTCATACTGCCTGATTGTTCATTTCAAGCGCGCATAAAGTTTGTAGGCCGTTGGGTCTTGACGCTGTGTTGGCGGGGCTTCCAACGCAGCACAAACTTCAAAAAAGTTTGCAGAGGGCTATGGGGTATAGAAAGCTTACTTAAGATGATGGCCAAGCCAGTTCGTGTGACTGTGAGTACCTATAAAATGCGAATACCTTTAAAGTGCGACGTCTATATGAGGTTGTAACAGCGATGACAGTTGCAAAGACCGTGATGAGGACCACTCCGGTCTTTGTGATTCTCGGGACTTTTGAAGTTAAAAGTGACGACAGTTACCGAGATGGCGGCATCAAAAGCGGCAACAATTACGAGGATGGCCATCCCGAGGGACCCATGTTGACGCTTTTGAAAATTGAAAGGTGGTGGCGCCATATTAAAAATTGAATCAAGAACCGTCCTGTCTTGATGCTGTCATGTCCATCCACAAGCATGTTACCACAACCTACTTGTTGTGTGCCGCTTCTCAGGGTTTGGGGGAGTTAGTTAATGCTCGAGTAAAGGAGTGGAGGAAAAGAAACACCCTTGCTGCCTATCTAACTGTACTGTTGTGAGAGGCTTAGCACGGGTCCAGCCCATGCGGGGGGCGGAGCTCTCTCGAGGGGGCAAGCTCTGTCTAAACATACGGCCATAATGCTGGTAAGGGACATTTTCTGCTCGCAAGTCAACTCGGCATGCGACACAAAAAAAGGTGCTGCCAAATTCTTCGTCAATGGCAACTTGGACATATGCGCTTGTCGCCGTCTCTCAGTCAGAGCTTGGGCCAACTTCGGTCAAAGTCATATCACGCCCTTCTTCCACTCATAGTCCTTGTGCATAAACTCTCACCTCGTCATGCGTTCAATCCGTCATGTGGGCTACAGCATCTCCCATTGCTTCTTCCAGCCTCAACTGAATTTGGAATTCTGAACACGGCCAGTGATGGCATTTTGTCACATTCCAAAAGATATGAAGGCAGCGGAACGCCATCATATCAAACTCCTTCTTGGAGTACCCGAGAATCCTGTCTGTGGCCTTAGCTGTGACAATGACCCGCCATTGAATTACGATAATGACTGAACTCCAATATCTCCTCAAAATAACGATAAGAACCCAGTCACACTGGCAGACTCCTGCTCATTCCGAAGGAAAATCAGCCCACCCTTGAGGTCTTTGCCCCAATCCTTTGAGATGCTGACCATGATCGAGCAGACCCTGCACGCCAAAAGCCTCAGGTTGGCAATGAGTTTGACATGTCAATGAAGTTCTTGAAAATAAATTAACACTGACCCAACTTAAGTCCATCAGGGCACCATCAGGATGGCATACAACAGGGCCAGGCGGGCACGAGTCCTTCAGGAAAGTTAGGGTTCCAGATTACGAGCAAAAACGCCATCCCCCCAGCCCGCCTGTGGAAGCCCTGTTTACAGTTGATCCGCACAAGGGGCTGCGAGTCTTTCAGGAGGCGTTTGACCGTCGGGATCGTGTTGCTGTGGCTAAACACGCTGCGCTGGGTCGACTCACGTAGCCCTG